TGTAGCACATGGGTAAATAATTTTTTTTTTAGTATTGAGATCAATTTGCCAATATTTTTAAATGTTAAACCCATTTCATGTTTTACATACAAAATTAAATTTTTTTGTTCAAAGCCCAATAAAGTTTAACTCACAATTTCACCATACCTAAACACAAGTATTATTTTACAAGAAATAATTCTTTATAAAATAATTTTTTTATTATTTTTGCATTTATTATTATGTAAATAAATTTGTTTCTGGTCTAGGATCCAAGATCTGTGACAAGGGAAGGGGGATGAGACTTTATGGGTGCATTTAGTATGTGAGACTGAGTAAGTGGGATTGGGTAATACCAAATTTTTATATTTGGTGAGTAGGAATGGCAAATTTATTCTCAAACTCAATCTCGTCTAGGTGGAAATACCCAATACCACCTCTCCTTAGTATTGTAAAATCAATTCCAGAATTGAAAAGTTGCAAACCAAATTGCCCTTCACTCTATGCCCCTCCCTCATCTAATGGTCTGAAGTCTCCATCTCTATTGTTAACGATGATGCTGTGCCCCTTGTAGGTGACGCCACCTTCTACTGATGGTAACATTCAATCCCCATCTCCCATCCATGCAAATACTATCTCCCTTGCACCTCAATCTATTTGCACTTAAGCGTATGGGCAATCAAATGAGGCAACGAGAGGCAAAGTTGCAATAATGCTCACATATATGATGAGGTTAAAGCTTGAGGGTTTCAGGTTCCTATAATGGGTGATAGCACATGTGGCTTTGGTCGAAACTTTATCCTTCCTTCTCTTTTACCTTCTCCTCTTGTTCCCACATTCACCATCAAGAAGCTTCACCGTATTATTTATCTCCTTAAGAATTAGCTCCGATCCAAATTGTAGAGCTTGAGAAGTTTGATCTTGCATCGAATTGTGAAATGAAGCTATGAAAATATTAGAAAGAGAAATGGAGGAGTTCAATAAAATCTTTTTCCTCCCCTAAACCGTGCAATTGTTCATCTTCATTTTTGATTGTGCAGTTCTTTTTTGTTAATACTAAGAGGCATTATAGTATTTGGATTATTCTTGATGAATTATAAAAAAATTAATACAAGTATTTTATTCAAATATTACTTCATACTAAATATATTTTTAAAATCTTAATATTAAATTTAATATCAATTCTAATCTCAATCTATCAAAATTCATGTCTACGTACTAACTAGCACCTCTATTGTCAAAATCCTCTAATGCATCGACCTTCTATTTAATAGGGGAGGGAGTACTACAGTCAATACACGTGCCACTAATCAAAGAAAATCGATCAATCTTTCCTGGTTAATTTGAAATGATTGGGCATAAACCAACTTGGTCCTGTTTTACTTAATTACGATACGACATGGCGCATCATCTCATGTAGGGTCCATCTACCTACCCCTACCAACTGACCGTGCCCATTGCCCCAATCATCAACTTAAGCATAGTTTCAGTATCAATTGTCCACCAGAGATGCCCTAAACACCATCCAATGTATAAAGCTGATAATTTAAATTAAATTTAAATAAAATTTTAAAAAATTTAAAATCAGATTTAATAAAATTATTATTTTTTTAATATTTGGGTACTGAAAAAAATAAAATCAAACCTGATAAATATCTGGATGAAAAAAATCATTTTAACAAATATATAAAATATATTAAGTATGAATGATTTTTAAATTTTTAGGTCATTTTATGCTAATATGTTATATATTTGAGTACAATATTAGGGATATTTTTTAAACAAATTAAAAATATTGATACTGTTATATTTTTATTATTTGTAATTTATAAAATATCTCAAAATAATATTTAAAGTATATTATTTTTTAATTTTAAGACATGCATATTTTTTTAAAACAAGTTTGAGTCTTCTACATCATTTAAGCATCCCAAAAAATATATTTTTTATTTTTATAAAATAAAAATAAATTAGCTTAAAAGTAAAAAATTAAATTTAAAAATTAAAAAAATTGATAATTCATGCATTCGAGTCGAGCTTGACCATTTGAGCTAATCGTTGAGCTCAAATAAGCTCAACTTGCTCGAATTATAAGCTCTAGACAATATCAAGGGAGGAATTTTTAAGTAGATTGGGTATGCTACTCATTTATAATTTGTTCAATAAAAATATGATATTCAAATGATATTAAATATAAATTAATTTTGACATTAATTATGGTAGAGAGAGAGAGAGAAAAAGTAAGAAATTACATATACATTATTCTATAAAAATACAATTAAGTAAGATAATTTGACATGAGATTTTATTTAAATGACTTATAATACTTTAATTAAACATACTACAAATAACGTGACTTGTACGATTTGCCTAAGAATTTCTCGTGCCAAGGTATAACCTTAGCATGTTGCTTTCAGTGCCGTTTTTTGTGACCATAAACATTTAGGTTGACTTTCCTCCATTTTCACAAACAGTAGCATATACTCATATTCAAATTATAAGCAATTTTTAATTATAATCCATGTATCAATAAAATTTAGTTATGTTTATAGTTTTCTTTTTTTTACCCTTGACCTCAAGTACCAGTGATAAATTAAACTAGAAGGAGAGTATTCATGTCAGCAAGTTTTTTAATGAGAGTTGCCGTTTGAAAAAGTTAGAATGATCCTTGTATAACTGGCCAATGACGTGAGAAGGAAGTGATAAATTCTCACGATACACAATAAACTAGGTTGATAAATGCAATAGCAAGATGAGAAAAATAATTTCTTAAAGTACTAAACTTGATGTATTTTACACCAAGATTAGTAAGGAAAAAGTGACTTATATTTCAAAATGAGAAGTATATGCTTGATAATTAATTTATTTTTATGTTAAGAATAAAATTACAAATTAATGTTGTGGAAGATATTAACTTTTTCGCTAAAAAAAAAACTAGCTAATTAGCTACGCAAACAGAGGACGACTACGTATGGTTTTTAAATTAAAAAAAAATATATCCCTTATAATTTTTAATACGAGATGAAGTTCGAATTTTTTTAATCCTAACTATAAAACGAAATTAGAATAATTATTTTTTTTCAGTTTACTCCTTATTTACTTATTTATTTATTGTCATTTGAATTTTAATTACTTTTAAACAAGAGTAAAATTAGAAAGTTACAAATTTTTTAATTTCAATGTCATACTAGCTTTTCTTAACAAGTGCAAAGTTTGCTAGTTTCATCTCATATTAAGACCGGAACAGTACCCTGCATACATAAACCTAAAAGTAATTAAGTATAATTAAATTTTGAAACAGTAATGTAATTATTCATAAACAATTAAATATATCATCCATCAATGCCAATACAAGTCTTAAAAATCTTAAGAGAGGCACTTTTCGTTGTAAAACGGCGACTCTCCTTGCACAGTGGTAGCTGTCAAGCACATGTCCCGTTAAAAAGTACTACACAATTGTGTTTAGTTAGGGTACCGGTCACATTAATTATGATACACATAGAGGATTCATTAATCATATGAAGTCAATTTTAATAATTTCAAAATAATGTAAATTCATAAAATATCAGCAATGTTTGTTGGGAAGTCAATCGCCGGGGGAAAAAAATCCAATGTGTACCTATAGCCAATAATTCACTAATTCCTGGATAGGATAACCTATCTACCCAACATAACAATTTTACTGTTAATTCATAAAATATCAGTAGTGTTTGTCGGTATATCACTTGCGAAGGGAAAAATTAAATCCAATGTGTGGAAAATTTGTGACAAATTTTCAAAACTATCCTCAATTCACATAAAATAAAAATATCACAATAAATATAGGTATTATGAAAAAGGAAAAAAATAAAAATTTATATTTAGAATCAAACCAAAACTCTCGATGTAACTTATATTTATGATGGAGCAAGTAATTCAAACATACAGTAATACAGTACTAATTATCAATTTATCACGGCTCTCCCTTTCACAAAAGGAAAAGAAAACAAAGAAAGAAAGAGGTATTTTTACCCGGCCCAACCCAATCTACCGAGTTGTGTTGGGTTTGCCATATCAGCATTTATGAAGCTACCCAGAATACTGCCTTGTTATTCTTCAGATCCTCGCTCCGGGGTTGTTTTGAAGAGCATGGTGTCACGGCCTTGGAACTCCCTTCCCTTGAACTTCTATCTTCGTCACAATGGGCTTCCATAAACAGTCCGTAAACAGAATTCTTGACACCATCTTGATTAAAAATCAATGTATATGTCTATAGTATGATTGAAAACATGACCAACAAACTGAAACCCAAAAGAAAAAAAAAATTTGATTAAACATAAATGATCAAACTTATATACCATCAATTTATCATGCAAAAGCTATTAAAAAAGCATAAGAAATAACATGCTTAGTGATTTTGAGTTTCGATTCAAATAAAAAACAAGAAGGTGGCCCAAAAAGGAAAAGAAGGGAGTCGATTATTTCTTTATCACTAAATTAAATAATACATATAATGTTATATATATTACATGTTATACATAGATATAAATATAAAATATTATATAATATTAATAATATATATAAATAAAGTAGCTTGTTAAACTCGTAATTAGGTACTGTAAAAATAGATTTAGCCTATTTAATTAAATAAATTTAAGTAAAGGCTTCAACCTAGTTTAAGTTTAGTAAATAGGCTAAGCTTTTCACTTAGTTGTTGGATTGGGTAAGGAATTTCAGGACGTCGAGAATGAAAATGAAGATAGCTTCATCAAGTAATGACGCAGGTTTGAATGAATAAAATTAAGGAAGGGAAACAAGTAAATTAAAGAAAGTGTAAGAAATACAGACAGGGAACGGAAATCAGAATCAGAATCAGAATCATGGTCCCATTCTTGGATTCAGTTAGCGTTGCTCCCACGCACCTCCCCTGCTTTTCCACTTTCTGATGAGTACCTCACAAGATTGGAATCTTTTTCCTCTTTCTTTATGTAATTTTTTCTGTTTTATATTTCTGCGATCAGAGAAAAGGGAGAAAGAAAGAAACAAAGTTGCCTATTTTTCTCCGCCTCATGAAAAAGAAAATGATAAATTTAGACATGTTTGACTCTATGTCCAGTTTGGGTTCTGATTCGTTTCTGCTCCTTTTATGCCAAGTCGAATGCATGCCTTGACTCTCTTATTTCAATATTCTTTGTCATTTCGTGCAGAGATCGGCCACCTCACTTCAACAGCCATCTGTTGCCTCTCACGTATTATTTATCTTCTTCCACTGTATATCTTAAATTCCAAGTTCGCTCCTCTTCTCCTCCAATCTCTTTTGCAACAGCTACCATGTCTTTCAGAGGTCTCGGCCGGGTAAGATTTTCGTGTCTGTACTATAAGAATACTGGTGTTTTCTTGGCTTAATAGAAGCAAATTAATTACGATTAAAAATCAGGCTTTTTGACACAAAATAAACTTGGTTATCAGCCGAATGCTTCGTCAGGCATGGGAGTGGCTGATCACAGCAAAAGTAGCTTCATGGAACTGAAGCAAAAGAAAGTGCACCGATACGTAATCTTCAAGATCGATGAGAAGAAGAGGGAGGTGTTGGTGGAGAAAACCGGCGGTCCAGCTGAGACATATGACGATTTTACTGCATCACTGCCAGAGAATGATTGCAGATATGCTGTGTATGACTTTGATTTCGTCACTTCAGAGAACTGTCGAAAAAGTAAAATCTTCTTCATTGCATGGTTAGTTTGCTGCTGATCAGAAAACATATACGTGTATATATACCCCTTGAGTTCATTTCATCCTATATTTTTTGTATGATCCCGGCATGTAACTCTATCGTACATTGATAATTAATTAGGTCGCCTTCAACCGCTCGAATCCGTGCCAAGATGCTTTATGCCACGTCGAAAGACAGGTTGAGGAGGGAGCTAGACGGTGTGCACTACGAAATCCAGGCGACTGATCCCTCAGAAATGGATCTTGAAGTTCTCAGAGATCGTGCACATTAATTGACACATGCCTATGCGCTGGTTCTCTCTTTTATATATCTTGATTTTAGTTGTAGTTGACACAAGTCTATGCACTAGCTCGCACTAGTTATCTACTATAACATGGTTCCCCATACGCCATGCCCCAAAAAGATGTTATCATTAAGTGAATCTCTGTCGTGGCTAATGAATTTGGGCTTATCTCTTGCTATAAAATCTATATATACATTCCTTGGTGGTTCTGAACATGAGCCCGTGGGCATGGAATTTAATTAGTACGGCTTAATTAGATAGTGAAAATATGGTACTTTATTACCTCTCATGACCAAGATCCCCTTGAAAACGCTATATGTATATATTAATTGACTTTTCTTCTTGGGAAAAAACAGAGAGAGAGATAAAGAGAGAGATGACGGTACAAAACCAGGCAAAAAAACAAGCTTCGTCTAGACGACTACATTGGTTCTTAAAGATTCTGCCCAGGTTCACACCAATATAGAAAGGCCTGATAAGGGGGAAACAAAAGCACAAGGCACTGGTACAAATATGACTTTTTACAGCGGTTTAAAAATAATTTTTTACAGCGGTTAACGAGACGATGTTGTTCCAGGGGATGTAAAAAATCCCTCTTTTACATCGGTTATAAACCCGATGTAAAAATTAAATTTTTTACATCGGTTATAGAGTCGATGTTGAAAGTTATATACAAGAAAATTTAAAAAAAATTTACTTTAACTTTACACCGGTTCCGATTTACACCGGTTCCGATCCCAACCGGTGTAAAAGTGCCTTTTACACCGGTTGGGATCGGAACCGGTGTAAAAGGTGCACTTTTTACACCGATTATGACCATAACCGGTGTAAAAAATATTATATTCTACAACGGTTGTGGTAATAACCAGTGTAAAAAGTATTTTTTTATATTATATTTATTTTATCGATTTTACCCATTTTTGTGCATAGAAATTGCCAAATCAGACAGCCCAATTAATTTACAATTGTTTATCAAGTATTTATCAACTATACAAAGCTATTTAACTATTAAAAAAACTAATAATTGTCTAAATTGTCAAAATTGCCATTTCTGTGCATAAAAATTGCCAAATCAGACAGCTCAATTCATTTACAATTATTTATCAAGTATTTATCAACTATACAAAACTATTTAACTATTAGGAAAACTAATAATTATCTAAATTGTGTCAACTATCAAAATTAAAACATGTCTAAAAGTAACAAAAACCTCACAAGTTCTTCAAAAATAGGTTGCCCAACGTATGCGGATATCTTCAATTTTAGCTTCAGAAAATGCATCCGAATGTCGAACATCTAAAATTTAATTAATAAAGTAGGCATATTAATCAATCTCAAATAACATATTAAGTGAACCATAATGTCAAAAAATGTAGGAAGAAAGTGCATCTCAAGTTGGCACAAGATAGTACAAGCTTCTTGTTCTAACTCTTCCAGTTTACGGGGATCAATAATTTTACTGCATATAGCATTGAAAAAAAAAACAAAGTCTGGTTATTGTAAGTCTTAAATCTTCTTTCAATATGTCTCGAATAGCCAAAGGTAATAGTTGTTGCATCAAGACATGGCAATTATGAGATTTTAAGCCTACCAGTTTCAACTCTTTCATAGATACAAGCTTCATAATATTTGAAGAATACCCCGAAAGAACTTTGATTCCATGTAAACACTCACAAAAACTTGTTTTCTCAGATTTGCACAATGTATGAGAGGCTGGGGGACAATAAGTTCGTTTACCTTCTGGTCTTGGGTGTAAGTCTTCCCGTATTCCCATTTCTTTCAAATCCAATCTTACATTCACACCATCCTTAGTCTTACCTGGTATGTTCAGAAGCGTTCCAATAATACTATCACACACATTTTTCTCCACATGCATAACATCAATACAATGCCTTACTTCAAGATTGCACCAATATGGGAGGTCAAAAAAGATAGACCTTTTTTTCCATATGCTTTTTGCACCAGTATTCTTTTTAGTCTTACCGAAGACAATATTAATGTTTTTCACACGTTCATATACTTGATCCCCAGTCAAAGCATCCGGAGCATCATTATGTTCTTGGTGACCATGAAAAGCTTTCTTCAATCTACGATATAGGTGATCTCATCTAAGAAACCTCCGATGGCCAAGGTAGACTGTCTTCCTTCTATGTTGAAGTTGATGATAGTTTGTGCTTTCTTTACAAATTGAACAAGCTTTATGACCTTTCACGCTATAACCAGACAAATTTCCATATGCAAGAAAATCATTTATAGTACAAAAGATCATAGCACGTAACTTAAAATTCTCCTTCTGATTTGCATCAAACATTTCCACACCTACCTCCCACAACACTTTCAAATCTTCAATCAGAGGTCTTAGGTAAATATCAATATCATTTTTCGGTTGTTTTGGTCCCGAAATCAACATGGATAGCATCATGTACTTCCGTTTCATGCACAACTTAGGTAATAGATTGTAAATCACCAAAAGAACAGGCCACGAACTATGTATACTACTAAAACTACCATAAGGATTCATTCCATCGGTAGAAAGTCCAAGCCTCAAGTTCCTTGGCTCATTGCCAAATTCGGGAAACAATTGATTAATTTTCTTCCATTGAGGAGAATCGGCTGGATGTCGAAGTTTTCCATCAGATATCCTCTCATTTGCATGCCACATCAAGTTCTTTGCATCATTAGTATTTGCAAACAAATGCTTGAACCTTAGTATAATTGGAAGATACCATAAGACTTTTGTCGGAGCCCCCTTCTCTTTGTACTATGGTGCCTCACATTTCGGACACTTCTCCTCCCCTTCAAGCTCTTTTCTGTACAACACACAATCATTAGGACATGTGTGTATTTTTTTATACTTCATACCTATTGGACACAAGATCTTCTTGGCATCATAATAACAATTTGGTAGTACATTGCCCTTCAGAAACATTATTTGAAGTAACTCTAACAACCATATGAAACTTTGATCACTCCACCCAGCTCTTGCCTTTAAGGTAACTAGTTTTAACACCCCAGATAACAAACTAAAATCAGTGCACCCCGAGTATAGAGGCTTCTCTGCGTCAGTGCACAAGTTATCATACACATGTGCTCGTTCAAAAGCCTCTTCCCCAACATCACGGATCATGTCCTCTAATCGATCTTCATTCATTTCTACTTCATCATCAAGATTATCAACTCTCACACATTGAGATGTGTTACTATAATTTTTCAATCGATCACCATGCCAAATCCATATTGTATAATTTTTGCAAATCCCATCACAAACTAAGTGCTCTCTTATTTCGGGAACACCTAGTCTCCTCTCATTTAAACAATTAACACAAGGACAATAGAACCTTTTACTATTGTCAACAGCATTTTTCTTAGCAAATTTTAAAAATTCTTTCACCCCATTATCATACTTGTCACTCGTTCGTCTAGCATTCATCCAACTACGATCCATATGTCACCTCTTAAAGAATATAACTAATGTTATTATCTTCAAACTATTTTAAAAAACTAAGTTCCTAATTAAATTAAGATTTGAAAAAATTTCGGCAGAATCTCCCCTAAAAATTGGATCTCCCAAGACTTTTAAAAAAAATTTACAAGAAAAAATTGACAATTTTAAACCAAATAAATGATCACATACAACAACCTGAGGCCTTATGAAGCCACTAATAGCACTCCCAACAACAATCAATATCATTAAAAACTAAATTTAAAAAAATTAGAGGAAAGAATAAATTCAAAAAAAATTTCGACAGAATCTCCCCTAAAAATTGGACTTCCCAAAAGTTTTAGAAAATTTTACACGAAAAAATTAACAATTTTAAACCAAATAAATGAATCACATGCAACAACCTGAGACTTTATGAAGCCACTAACAGCACTCCCAGCAACAATCAATATCATTAAAAATTAAATTTAAACATTATAAAATTTAAAAATTTATATTCAACACATACTTGGGTGGTGGCAGCTACAGCAACAACTCAACACTAAGAGGGAGGGAGAAGGAGTGGTGGAGGGGGGCAAGAGGGAGGGAGAGGGGCAGGGGGGGCGGGAGAGTGAAGGGGTGGGCAAGGGGAGAGGGGGAGGGGGAGTGGGCGGCGGGACGAGGGGGAGGGGATAGGCGGCCGAGGAAGGGGGAGGGGGGCGACAGGATGAGGGGGAGAGGGAGGGGGTTGGGTGGACCTAGGGGGAGGGGAAGGGGGCGGCCGGGGCAAACCGAGGGGGAAGGGGAGGGGCCGGCGAGAGGAGGAGGGGGAGGGGGCTGCGGGATGAGGGGGAGGGGGCTGGGCGGACCGAGGGGGAGGGGGAGTGGGCGGCGAGGGGAGGAGGGGGAGGGGGCTTGGCGGACGGGTGGGAAGGCTGGGCGGACGGGGGGGGGAGGGCGGCCGGTGAGGAAGAAGACGAGGGGGAGGGGGAGTGGGCGGACGAAGGGAGACGAGAGGGAGGGCGGAGGGCGCGAGAAGGAGGAGATGAGGGAACTGATGAATGAAGGGAGAATGAAAATGAATTTAAAAAAACATTTTTTACACCGGGTGCCTGGACACCCGGTGTAAAAGTGTCATATAATTCAAGATAATTACAAAAAATGCACCACCGCCTTTATTTTTTTTACACCGTTTGCCTTCCAACCGATGTAAAAAGTACCCCATAAATTTTATATTTTGTACTAGTGAGGGTCTTCGATCAAGCTCTGAAGGATGCTTCCTCTTGCAATTCCTCGTTCTCGGCATATAATAACTCCAGAGATTCACCTCTGGATCAGGCACCATGAAGCGGAAGAACCCCAAAATGAACCTGCATCTGTTTTGGCGGCATCTTGGTTCACTGCCAGGTATAGAAAACCAAACGCACCCACCATAGCTCCAAGCTTCTCCGACGCTGAAGATATCCCATGATAAGTAACCAGAATCTTGCAGGAAATATCTCAGCAGGCAGCCAGGCGCCACAAATATGTTGTAGCGTTCGAAACTGGCGAAAAGAGTCATTGAATACAGATATCACGTGTTGTTTTTCGAACAGAATTATTGATTGTAAAACGCAATGTCAAGCAGGGACCAAGTGCTAGTTGTTCCTAGTAAGTGAACTCCATGGCGACAAACAAACTCTTTAGAAACCAAATCCATGTTTATTACAATCTCGTTACTTTCAGCCACTGGCGTTTGCTTTTTTGCGGTTCAGCTTCGAGGTCGACTTGGAGAACTTTGAACACATATATTGC